AATAAATTGTGTCCATGAAATAAATCAATCTGAAAGTACTTAATAATGAATCAGAATAGAAGACGAATTGACAACTAACGAACATAATGTATTATAATTATTATTTATTACAAGACACTGCCAAAAGAAAACTATAAGGAAATTGATTAGTTTTTTGGTCATCACTAGTCGTTGAAGCTAAAGATCTTTTATGAGAGTTGAGGTGCATAGAAGCCAGATAACAATTTCAACTGATAGGAAATAGGTTCCTAAGAACCGGTTCGATTAGAAGGGCTCTCAAGAAGCTAAAAACATATGACTTGCATACAATTGAAGGGAGAATCAAATTGAGGGTGATTTGTATTTAAAAATGCTCCACCAGAAATTCTCTGTTTATTCAATTGGCATATATACAAAGATTTTTACGAACTGAAATCTTTACGAAACCCTAATAGTTAAATACTCCATACTACATTATATAGCACTAGTTTCAATGCATACATAGTAGGTTGAACCGACACGTTTTTACAATCCAACGGATAGTTGGAAAGTACATACTTTTTGAACTTTCGGTAATTACTGCACAGCTGTTTAAGCTGCGTTTTTGTATTACCGCTAAAAATTTCATTTTGCGGTTGCCTCGTTACTCACGTCGCTCGTAACTCATTTGACAATTTGTCTTAACTAAATTACCGATAAGCTAGCATTGTAAGCCATTTTATTTTAGAACAGTTTTGTTTTTGTTTTTGTTTACATTGTGGAATGTCCAATATGAAACCCTTTTATTAAACATACCATATGCTTGAATCTTTTGGATCCAATAAACTTGGAGTAGCTTAGCACTTCATTCACTCAAGTTGATTGAAAACAATTGGCACAGCCCTAGATACAGATCGAGATAAGTAAAGCCTATGTGCCTATGGATCCATCGATAAGGTGATAAGATTGCGAGGACGAACATGGTTACATGTCTAGGGTCTGGGAGCCACATATTTTCGTTACCAGCGGAGTGCCCAGATAGCCAATGATTAGGGTATTGACACCTTCCCGCCTTCGAATAGTTTTGGCATACATTGGGAAAAAATTCAAGACCCTGTTGCTTTAATTAAGAATGTTATTGTCCGTCTCAAGGAAAATCTAAATATATTCCACTGAGAAAGAGCTAATTTTTAATAATTTGTTCAATACATCTATTTTTCTGAGTGTGCAATTTGTTGTTCAAATATTAATTTAATAAAAACAGGTCGCAGCCAATTAGTATTTTTATTGGTTTTTACTTTTTTGGCAAGTATAATTAAATATTTAAAGGAATTTTGCTGTTTTAGCAAGGGTAGAATTCCCGATTCGATTAGGTTTTGAAGGCATTTTTTGGAAACAAAAAATCTTGTATACCACTCGCAAAAATGTTCATTTTTGCTTGCGGTTTTTTGCATAGTTTACAAACTGTATTGACGATTTCCTGCTGTAGTGCTTTTGAGTTAAATGGAAGGCAGTATTAATCAAGGAATGGGGGGGGGGGGGGGTCAATCAGGTGCTCTGAACATCTTGCTGATAGCGGGGCATAAGATGTCGGATGAACTCGTGCGAGGTGTGTGATGAGAACGTGTCGCACCCACAAAAACCCGATCCCGATTTCCATCCCGGTACTGCCCTTGCATACATTTACATACCTCTATTCCGTATTCTATATTCCGTATTCCCAATGGGATCCGTATAGTATCTCCTTGGCAAGCCCGCCAATTGGCAGCACAGCTCTTCCTGCGCCAGTAGTTTTTAGCTTTTATTTCGGTGCTTTTATTTATTTTTATATTCAAACACTACGCGATGCACTCACTCACCGACCGACTAACTGAATGGCCTGCATCTAATTGAGAAACAAAAAGCTATCAGCGGCCCAAGTTCAAGGTGGATAACTTAAGGTTTATACCCTCCACTCCTTGGAATCACCTAATGCCGTATGGAGCTCTATACCCTACGTCACACATATGCGTATACGCGATATGATCCCGAAACCGATACAAAATTGAAATCTCACTTCACAATTGCTAGTCGTAATCGCGGTACTTCCATCGCCGCCAGCTGCGGAAATGAACTAAACCGAATCTGAACAGAATTGCTATGAGCTGAAAAGCACCGATGGGAAGATCGGATCGCTAACGCCAATCGATCGGGCGCTATAGCTACATATGTAGGTCCACGTAATAGCATAGCGAACCACTGTTGATTAACAGCGCTCTTCGGGATTCAATATGAGGCAATAGTCTTGTCCACCCTCGAAATGGATCTGTGGATCTAATGATGGATCCCTCGCTAAATAAAACTTTCCGTCCGAAATTTTGGTTGACGCGTGGTTTACCTATGTACATATGTACATATGCTGGGGATTGATTACTGGCGGGGAGAACGCGGAAGCCCAAAAGTGGGCAGCAATTATAAGTCTTATCAATATACACACATAATTCCATTTGATTTATTGTACCCATTTAAAAGGGTATTTATGGATGAAGTATGAGAGGGGCTTGCATAAATGAGTCCTTTATTAAGTACGTATAGAGACTAATTAGTATCTGTATAAATTATAAATTCCGGAAAAAGTTTATATTCTATAATTGAGTTATGAGGCTGATTCAATGTTACCCGAAACACTTTTATTTGGTGTAGAATTGTTTTAGTTTATAAAATCTTGTTCGGAAAAATACATTTTAAAATGATTTAATTATTAATTATTAATTTTTACTCACAGAAATGTACATACATGCGAATGCACACCTTAGACACTTTTAAGTAACTAATTAAATTTAAATAAAAATTTCTAAAATTTACTCATTTCTTTATGAAGGCAACTTATAATTTCTAAAATTAAAAAATTGGCAAAAAAGTTTATATTTGAAATATTAAAAAAAAAAGAATTTATAATTTAAGTTTAATTTTATTTTTTGGATAAGGTCGTATAATTTGGTAGCTAAGAAGATAATGCTGTACCCACCCAGGTAAAACTATATATAACTATCTTATAAACTAGAAACAACTACAGCTACCTATGATATATTTAAGATATTTAATTACTCAAATATAAAGTTCCAGGTGAATAAAAACAATCTATACATTACAAAAAAAGTACCGAAAATAGCACCTAGCTTGGTATATAGGTACTCACCGATTCTGTGGAACACCCCATATGTTTTGGTGGCCTTCCACCCCCGATAAGTGGTATTTCACATAACGGTAACACTAACCCAAGCGCCGGTTTCGTTTCACGTTGCCACATTAGTTCGTTGTTTCGTTGTCCACTGGATTTCATCCGTATAACCGAGAAAACTTGGACTTGCAGCTGGGGAAAATGCCTGGGAAGTACGACAAGTTGCAGCAGCAGTTCCTCTGCTGCTATCCGGTGAAGAAGATGGCCTGGTCGGTGGGTACTCCAGTCTGCCCCACCTGTTGCATCCTTTTTAGTTTCGGGTTGTTCCCTTGCAGACGGTCAAGTTGCCACTAAACTGGGAGGATCAGCAGGAGCTGATAGCAGCCACCTGTGGCCACCCAATGAACAAACGATATCCGGTGCGTCGCAGCTACCTAGAGGCCTTCCTCAAGCAGCTGATGCACTTGCTCCGGGATCAGGAGGATGTCCACGACGACATATACAGCAGCTTGTGTGGCCCAATGGCGGATAACCCCGGTTCAACTGGGACATCATCCTCCTACGGCTACAAACACTATCTCCTCGAACCGGGCGTCCACATAACACTCCGAGAGTCCAAGAGCTTCGTGAGCGAAGGTACTACTGGATTGTGCACCTGGGAGGCGGCCCTGGCCCTGGCCGATTACCTCCTGCAGCACCGTGACCTGGTCGTCGGCAAGAACATTGTGGAGCTGGGAGCTGGCGCTGGGCTAGTGGGAATCCTTCTCAAACTGCCCGCTCTGGAGCTGAAGACCGGTCAGGTCCTCCTCACCGATGGCAGTGAGCCGTGTGTCCAGCTGATGCGCGAGAATATCGCCCTGAACTTCGTGGATAAGCCATCGGAGGAGAGGCCGCAGGCGGAGCAGCTGAACTGGGATGCGGTCAACGAGTTCCCCTGGCACTCGCATGCGGAAACGGATCTTCTTCTCGCCGCCGATGTGATCTACGATGACTCCCAGTTCGATGCCCTGCTGCGTGCCCTGGATTACCTGTACACGAGGCGAGGAAGCAGACTGGAAACCCTGCTGGCCAGCACCGTTCGGAATATGGACACACTGCACAAGTTTATGACCCAACTGGGTGAGTTGTCATGTCTCCTTGAGAAGATTCTCATCCGTCTATGTATGTCTATTTGAACTGGTTTCCCGTTACAGGTCTTAATGGCTACAAGGTGACTCCCTGTGCGAATGTCTCGGCCTGTGCCAGCCACTTTTGTCGCGATCACACCGCCGCCGTTCAGATTATCTCCATACGACGCTAGTTTTAGTCCTAAAATAAACCGACACCACGAAAACAAACACCCACTATCTGGATCTCAGTTAAGAACTTAATGGTCCCGCTGTTTGGATTGCAATTAACAGGATTCAACGAGAGTTATGATGGTTCCTAAATGTTATTCGTTAAAAAGTAATATCTAAAATACTGTTTCCGAACTGTGAGGAAAGGTATCACCAGCTTATCAATGAAGGTAAATTAGAGTTGACTTAGTATGGTGGTATTTTATAGCAAAATCAATGATTACTGATCCAAAGTGTTTTATATATCAGAGTATTTCATATACATATTCCATATTCCATGTAAAATTTTTGTTACTTTAATGTGTTTCGAAATTCAATGGAAAGATACCCATTTATAACTAGTGGTGTATTATAGTTTTTAGACTTTGGAAGAATTTGATGGCAAAATTAATGATCACTGAAACAAAGCCTTTACTACAATATTAAAATAAGTAAATTCGGGGCAGCAAATCTATATGTTTGGGTATTTCAAGTTTTGCAATATTAAGTAAAAACCCACTTCTTTATAATCATCGATCTAGAGCCTTTGTAAAACCATCGCAATCTTTAAATTCAGACTGAGAAGTCTATTTATTTCCGATTAATAAAATACTGAGTATTTATGATATAGATAGGAATGTGTATTTTAAGATCGGTAGCTACACATCTCTCACTGGTTGATGGTGGGAATGGTGCCGTCGTTCAGCCAGCGGACGTTGAGCTGCTCGATCTGGTGCTTCATAAAGATAATGCCGTAGACCTCGTACTGGATCTCCAGCAGCTGGGCGCGATGCGTCCGAGGGACCTTCATGCCGACTACGAGGGCCAGCAGCGCGGTGATGATCAGGAAGACGAATCCCTGGGCCATCAGGGTGCTCGAGTCGGTGGCATAGAAGTAGGAGTTCTTCGCATCCGCTACGAAGTAGAAGTAAACGATGCTGGTGCAGACCAACTTCAGGATGTATGAGACGCAGATGATGCATTCGGTGAACCGCAGATGGGTGACCTCCATCAAAGCGATCTGCTGGCTAGAGTAGGACATTCCAAAGAGCACGAGGAGCAGCCAGAGTGACCACCTGGACTCCGTGACGCTGCAGAGGATCATGGCCAGCAGGGTGAAGAAGAGGAGGGCCACCTGGGTGCCCACAAAGGTGACCTTCACCGAGAAGAACCACTGGCAGACGAGGGCCAGCAGGCTGCCTCCGAAGATAACCCAGAACATGGCGTCAATGCCGGAAAACTCGGACGTCAGCCGGATGGCCGGATTGAGGGCGAACCAGTAGACATAGTACACGAACAGGGCGAACTGGACAGCCTCCGTGAAGAGCAGGAGCAGCATCATGTTCCACTGCTGGTTCTTGGTCACGTAGAAGAACTGCAACCGCTTGATCACCTCCGAACGCTTCTCGAAGATGCTGCCATTGGAGTTGGCGATCCGCAGGTCGTTGTCCATGCTGTTCACCAGATCGACGGTGCCCAAAAAGTGGAGCACCTTCTGGCCCACCACGATGGCCAGTACGGCGGCCGCCACACTCAGATAAGTTCCGGCGAAGTTCACGTAGATTCCCTCGATCAGTTGCTCCGTGGTCGCCACCGTGCTCTGTCCCGCAAACTGTTTTACATTCCGGCTGTAGGCGGATACAATCAAGCTCACGGCGGAGGCCACGCCCAGAAGGTAGCAGCTGCAGCTTCCCGAGAGAAACAGGGCCCGACTGCCCTTGGAGCTGATCGTGTGCAGGAAGCTATAGCCAGCCACGAAGGTCATGCTGTGCGCCACATAGGAGATGTAGGCTCCGACGTGGTCTGAAAAAGACATCCGGAGATTAAAAGCACTTCGATAGATACCGGATATTTATCACTCGTATTATTGGAGCTATAAAGGTGTCTAAAAGTATGCATAAATACCAGATGTACTCACCAAATCCATCGGCAAAGTAGAAGCAGCTGGCTATGAGATTAAAGACTCCGGCGGCCAGGAGCAACCACGGTTGCCAGTAGATGATGCACTTTTTCACGAACTTGACCGCCAGCATGGCCAGGGCAGTGACCAACGCCCAGCAGGCGCCCAAAATCAGGGGTCCATAGTATACGAGTCCGGCATTCAGATTTCGTTCGGCGACAAAGGCACAGATTGTGTATCCAAAGATCATGCCACAGGGCAGGAAGCTCAGGCAGACTGGAAACAAATGAGATATAGCCTTCGGATTTTCATATATATCTCCCTTGATAGGGTTACTCACCCACATAGCTGGGTGCATATTTAAAGAACTTCAGCACCACTTTGGCCCACACGTTCGTCATGTTTCAGGAGAGGATTAGTTAACTAACCGGAGGAGGAGCTTAGAGCATTTTCGCGTGCAGCCGGAGTGGAGATTCCCACGATGAGCCGCCCCAGACGCAAATGGGCCAGTTGAAGTCCAGCGGAGAAGTCGACTGCGACAAAGGCGGCCAAGATAAGGCGATAAGATAACCCGTCCAGGTGTACGCGTATGTGTGACCACGGTTACACAGAGGGAAAACGTAAGTGTCCAGGATTAAATATCTTGTAATTTTTACTACAAATTAGATAATACATACAATAGTTGAACCCATTAAAAATGTAAAAAAATATATAGGGGTACCATTTCACTTTTGAATTTAAAATATATTGCTGCATACTTTTAGAGACCTAATCTGACATACATTTGCTAATCTATAAATCGTAGTTATACTGTTAAATATTGTTTTTTAAGTATCCAGTAAGCAAACCCATTAACCTGATTAGTTTTCCAGTGCACCCGCTTCTGAGTGACTAATGCCGCAGCGAAGTAAGCCACTTGGACAGATAAGCAGATGTCCGCCACCTGACAAGTCTTTCGGGAGTTGGCTTAAGTAAGGGCCCCTAGCATTTACCACAACTCGAAGGAAATGTAGTTATTTCCAACTATGTATACATATCGTATGTTTGTGCTTATTTAAGGCCATTGGTCTCTTCATTTCCTAGGGCTTAAAACTAATCTGAAGTGGCTAATGATAATAGGAGTTCAGGCAATGGAACGTCCGGCGATAAAGCTTGGGAAATTGATTTCAATTGAATATTATATGCCAGTAGGTATGTTATCAGCCATAGGTGGGCGTTTGGTGGTGGGGATAGGGGGAGTGGTGGTGTGATTAAAGTGGGTGGGGGTAAGTTCTTAGTCAGTTTGTTTACCTTTGAGCAGACAATTGACTGCAGCCGAGAGCAAAAATGGGAGAGTGGCGAAAAGTAATGAGAAAATAAAAGGCTGTGAAGAGAGTGCATGGATGATTTAACTTTAAGATGTCTTTTACAGCCAGCTCTCTCAATTATTTAGTTTAATATGAAAACTAGAAAATGTTGATGAAAATTTGATACTATTTTCACTTTAAGATCTTGTATAATAGTAATGTGGATATAAAAAAGTTACATATTTTAAAATACTAAAAAATCATCATCAAATTATCAATGCAATTCAATTATTTTTTATATAAAACTAGCCGCGAATTCTTCAGATCTTTGATACCAAAGATAAATTAATTTCCTTCTCTCTAATCATTCTAAGCCTTACTAAAATTTAATACCTATAATTTTGTGTCAGCCTCAATAACTGCGAATTGTTTAGATCTTTGTAAAGTAAAGATAAATTTACTAACTTATTCTCCTTTCTAGGCAGTTTTGAAAACTTTTTCAAAAAACTTAGGAAAATATATTAGGACCTCTCTTAGAACAAAAGCTTAATGAAATTTGCGACGTCACAGAAGGAAGTGTTGCCAACTTGCGAGCGGGAATAAGGCGCTCAATTGCATAAGGGTCCTGAGAGAGGAAGCTGGCTAATGCGCCTGTGCGCTTCCCAGGCGTAACCGTAATATAGCCCCCGTAGCCCCCAGAAAAACACCCGAACCGGCGGACCAAGTCGCGCTTATCCGCTGGCAGGGCACCCCAATGTCTTGGCCCGGCCTTATCCCTGGCTTTCACTTCCGCAACTCGGCTGCGACGACAGGCCGAACTCGTAGCGCCCGGCCCATTATCACCACCACCACTTCCGAGAAGCCCCCTCCCCCACTCGCGTTGGCGGTAGCCGCCAGCCGTTGCTGCGATTGCAAATCAGAATCCGAATCAGGATGCTGCAGTCAGTGCTCCGGGGTAACTGACTGGCAATGGAATTCGACGGAGCGGCGACCGGAGCCACAGGATATATAGATATAGTTATAGATATAGGACTCAAATACGTCTAGCCCGACATGATTGTGATGAGCATCTGGTGCAGCAGCCTCAGCCTGAGCAGCCGCAGCCTGGCCATCGCCCTGGTGGTCTGTGTGACTCTGGTCTACTTCTCCTACAGCTTCAACGCCTGCCTGCTGGCCAGCATCAGTCGCAGTTTGCAGCAGGTGAATATGTATCCTGGGTGGTTTTTTATGGCCGTTCAACCGAGGGTAAATAATTGCAATTACCCGAAATCTGTCTGTTTTGGTGCATATGCATACAGATAAATTATTGATACAAATTTATAGAAAAGCTCCAGCGGTTTGAAATCACTTTAAAATGTGCCTCAAAGTACGAAAGATAATTCAAGATTTTATGTTTGCTACTCTCAGGCATATTTATAATTGGCGTAAAAAACCCAGTAATATACCGCAAAAGGGTATGCCGAAGTCGTGCTCTTCGGATTTATTTACTTGGCAATTTCCTTCTATGTGTGGCATTGACCTCTGACCTCTCCCGCGCAGAGCAACTTACGCAACCTACTGGCCCTCACCTCCTCGCCCCGCAACGAGAGCAGTGACGCGGGAAACAACAACAGCAGCAGCAGCAGCAGCAACAGCTCCTCCACCACCAGTGCTCCTTCGGCTCAGACGGTGACCAGCAGCCTGGATGGGGCGCCCAAGTATCAGCTGCTCCGGCAGCAGGGCCTCCGACCATCGCGACACTTGCCCGACACGCTCATCATTGGCGTGAAGAAGAGCGGGACGCGGGCGCTGCTTGAGTTCATTCGCCTGCATCCGGACGTGCGGGCCGCCGGCTCTGAGGTGCACTTCTTCGACAGGCACTACCAGCGCGGAATACGCTGGTACCGGCACCACATGCCCTACACCATCGAGGGCCAGATTACCATGGAGAAGACGCCCAGCTACTTCGTCACCAAGGAGGTGCCGCAGCGCGTCTACCACATGAATCCGGCCACAAAGTGAGCATTCCTCATAGGAATGAAACCTTTCTAGATTTTAAAATCTCCATCAAAATCTCAATAGATGTGAAATCTTCTAAAAAATTAGTTCAAAAGAATGCTGTGGAAAAAAAGACATGGTCTTTTGGAATTTATTACCCTGATATATTTTTATAACATAGCAAACCTCTTGACATTTTTTAAAAGGTTCATAACTCCAGAGATTCCGATTCTTGCGGAACCCTAACTTTTAACATTTTACCAGATATTATAATCATTAAAATGTTATATAAATATGGGGGTGCCACACAAAAGATAGGGCTTATAAATCAATTTTATTTGTTATTTTAAGTGTCTAAAAGTATGTAACAATATATTTTTAATTGAGTCAGAAATACGAATATTCTTCACGCTCTGCATATTTTTAAACACCTGAAGTTACCTTTAAAAGTGGTTTCAAAACCCTAGACATTTATGTGGCACCCCTATTATATTTTTTCCCTTGGGACCGCAATATTAGCGAAAATTATATAAAACATGATTTCCTTACCCCACAGATTGCTGATTGTGGTGCGGGATCCGGTGACTCGGGCCATCTCCGACTACACGCAGGCGGCGAGCAAGAAGGCCGACATGAAGCGCTTCGAGCAGCTGGCCTTCGTCAACGGCAGCTACTCGGTGGTGGACACCAACTGGGGGCCGGTGAAGATCGGCGTCTACGCCCGCTTCCTGGAGCGCTGGCTACTCTACTTCCCGCTCTCGCAGCTGCTCTTCATCAGCGGCGAGCGGCTGATCATGGACCCCGCCTACGAGATCGGTCGCGTCCAGGACTTTCTCGGTCTGAAGCGTGTCGTCACCGAGAAGCACTTCTACTTCAATGCCACCAAGGGCTTCCCCTGCCTCTTCAAGTCGGAGGCCCGCTCCACTCCGCACTGTCTGGGCAAGACCAAGGGTCGCAACCATCCGCACATTGACCCGGGGGCCATCGAGCGGCTGCGGGAGTTCTACCGGCCCTTCAACAACAAATTCTACCAGCTGACGGGCATCAATTTCGCCTGGCCATAGGATCCCCAGGCTGGGTGAGTAGCTAGGAGGCTTAGATATTTATAAAGTTATTAGCAAAATGGATACGATCAAACCTATACCTTTAAAAGGCACAATCTATCACTATCCTAAATAACCCTATCCTATTTACTTATTTTTCAGCATACGTGAAATTAAGTCGAGTTAAATCAAGAAATTATGAGATATTGTTGTTGCTGGCCAGGCAACGGACTGATATTGTTGTTTGCATTTTTGATACATATAATTGTACTTATATATAGTATATACACATGTAAAATTAGTGCTCAATTAATTGTAGCTTTATCAGGAGACAGATTCAACGAATTCACTCAAACAATACGGTTCCTCACTCCAATTCAAATGAAAATCAACTCACTTTTCCCCACTATATACCTAAAAATCGAAACAGTGGGTGGCGAGTCCCTTTCGTCCCAGGACGAAAGTGGACTTCCTGCCCACCGTGCACACTCAATGCTATCTACTACCACATATACCTAAGATAATTATGTGCATTTATATACAAATAGTGAACAAATAGAGCTTACTACGAAATTCCTACAGTCTCCTATATATATATATACACTATAATATAAATAGTTCCAAAAATTTCAATTGCATGACTCAACCAATACAATTGCTTAGCTAATTTTAATTAAAGCACAACCTAAATAAATCGACTTTAACTAAATCTAGTCAAGCTGAAATGAGTCATGGTTTCACCTTATAAAAAATGGTGGGGTCTCATCTGTAGAATCTTCTTTTTTTCCCAAGTTAGGACAAGATTGTTTTCTTCTCCTCCCTTCTTCATTCAGCAAATCGATCTTGAGGTTCAATTTTTTTCAGTTTATTGATTTCATTTTGGTTTTTATTGGTTGTGAACAAATCACGGTTTTCGCATTTCTTGCTTTGTTTTCAACTTTAATGATTTCTTGGTTTAAGGATTTTGTGGTCCTATTGTTTTCGCCTGCCACTAGGTTTCTTTCAGTTTTTAAGTACAATTGTTTAAATAAATTGCGGTGGTTTGTGGTTGTTTCTTGTTGCTCTAAGGTATCCATTCAATTTGCTTTTCGTAGATATAATATTAGAAAATTATACTATATTTTTTGGGATTTTTGTGGTTTGTTGGTTTCCTGCCTAGGGTTATGAATTTCTTTAAAAATAACTATGCATAGGTGATGATCGTAAAAGTAATTATGATAATATAACATTAGTCGTAACGAACTAGGCGAAAATAACTTAGGTCCTACAGTAGGGTTTGCCTAAAACTAGGTAGCTACATGATCTTTGATTTGATATATTACAAACATCCGATTGGTTTCGGATTCGGTTTAGGAAGGCGGGCGGGCGGTAAATGAGATGCGAGTGTAGCCAGTGCGATATTGCATCGACCATCGACCACTACTTCTGTTGATCCTCGCCGAGTGCGCCTAGGATTTGGCGCCAGCTTCCTCTCCTCGCGATCGCCACCTCATCGAGAACCGCTTCCGATTTGGAGCTCTGCAAACGCTTTTCGCAAAAGAGACTACCCACCGGCTTGGCCATGGATGCCGCCAGGCTCTTGGTCACCGTGGAGTAGAGTAGAGCATCCGAGGACATTTTGCTGCCGTCGCTGGGCGACACCAACTGCGCTCCTCCGCCCGCCTGACGCCAGGGGACGGGCCAAGACAGTGTGGACGGGCTTTTGGCTGCTGCCGGTGGCGGTGGTGGCGGTGTTGCCTGGCTGCGATCCTTGATAGGAAACTTGTTCTTAGTGCAGCTCAAGTCGAGCTCCAGCGTGTAAAAGCGACCGCGGGTGAACTCTCGGTTCTCGTTCCGCAGGCTTGTGCTAGCTTCATCCGACGCACTTGCCCCTCCGGCGGAGGTCGATGTGCCCACACCCGCTCCAGCGGCACCCGGTAGTTGCTGGCTAATTGTGCAGATGCTGCTGCGATTGCTGTTCCCGGTGGGCAGGGCTGTGTGTGCGGTGGTCACCGAGCTGGCCTGAGTGCCCGCTCCACTGCCGTCGCACACATCCTCGCCGGGATCATCTTCGCCGTCCGTACTGGACAGCGAACTCTCCGTGTCGTCGATGTGCAGCTGATTTCGTGCCTTTGTTTTCAGTTGGGCATTGGCATTGGCATTGCCACTGGTCGGTGGAGCGGCAGGCGATACCTTGTTAATCCTAGGCGAGCAGTCCATTAGCAGATTCTCCCAACTCGTCTCGTACACGCTGGCCAATTGGGCCGGCGGCTTGGGCTTGAGAATAGTCTGCTTGAACGGCATGGGCTGCATTGGCTGAGGGGGCGTGGCCTCCGCCTTCTCCTCAGCGGGAAACTTTCGTGCTCCAATTATTAGCTGCGGCTCCACGTAGAAAGAGTCGAAATTGAGGTCCAGGAAGAGCTCCTGCAGGAAGCGGCGGGCAATCATCCGATAGCTGCTCCTGCCCAGCGTTTTGCAGGACTCCGAGTAAAGGCAAATATCCTTGAGTGAATAAAAAGGATGATAAGGTGATATGTTAGATACTTCTGTTGGATTTCAAACAAGGTCTAACCTGAAAGGCATGCGGGTGCTTTTGCTTAAGCTCCAGCAAAGCCATTTTCGACTGCTTGGCACTGACGGGATTGGCCAGGCGCTGCACGTTGTACAGGATGGAGGCCGTTAGCCTGTCCGGCAGGCTATCCTCGCTCAGCATGCTCTCCGGCGAATGGAAGCTGATGTCGCCGCCAAGGGCCGCCGAAGCCCCTGGGGCGGAGGAGGCGCTTTTCTTGGCCATCACTGGTCCGGCCTGGATGCCGGCCGCCACCAGAGCGGCCGCTGCACTGCTGTACAGCTCGCAGGGGGCCAGCGATGTGCCGCCACCGTTGCTCTGACTGCCACTATTGTCGTGGCGCTGCTGTCTCGGCGAGCGGGCACAGTGGAGGCACTGGCTCCTCGCATGCTTGGCGCCCTGCTGCCACTGTCGTGGCTGTCGACGACTTGTGGACGAGACGTCCGACAGCGATGATATTACCGAGGACTCGTCGCCGCCCTCGTTGGTCAGCGAATCGTTGAGGAACTGCTGCCGGCCCATGCTGCTCAGCAGATTGATGCCGACTAAATCCTGGTCCTGGATGTCCCGCGAGACATACGTTCGGCTGAGGTTCCGCGTGGGGAACAGGTCCAGAACGTTCTTGGGCAGGCAGATGCCCGCGTAGCACGGCCCCTGCAGATCGTTTTGGGGCAGGAACTTGGGAGCATTTGGCGTGGGCAGCAGCACGTTTAATTCGATCGGGGTAAAGCCTCTGCAAAGGGATCACAAATTAATATACATATTTATCCAATAACTTACGCAACTTACCTATACATTTCATTCAGTTTGGGCTGGCGGTCCAGGCTACGCACCTTGAGCCTCCGGTGGGGATGGGTCCAGTCCGGCTTGCGCATCGTCACCTCGGGAGTGTCTATAAGCTCCGCAAAGTCGTAGAACTCCGCCGACGACACGGAGAAGACGGGTCGACTGTGGGCGCGCAGGGAGCGCAGCTGGGCATAGCCCTTCATTGCCATTGGGCTGAGGGAGGGCAGCAGACTGGTGGCAAGCTGGTGGCGTCGTATCAGTTCGTCGCTCTCCAGCAGATTGGACATGCTTGGGATGGGACTCAACGGGAATTGCTGAAATTCGTTGGCCGCAGCTGCGGCGGCCGCGGCTGCAGTGCGTCCGGTCACCGATTCGCAGCTGCTCACGCCGGAAGTGTTGGAATCCGTGCATGAGTTGTACCGTATTCGGTGCTGATAGGGCGTGGGATAGAGACCCGTTCCCGGCACCGTGGTGGTGGCTCCACCGCCAAGCAAGCTGATCACATCCGTGGTCTTCGATTCGGAGAGCGAGCGCTGGTGTTTGCCCTGACGCAGATTGCTGCCCTCCGGCAGGGTCTTCGATTTGGCGGCTACTCCCCCGACAACGCTGGGCAACAGTCTGGGATGCACATCGTCCGTTGTGGTGCGCACGCTGTCCGTGGTCGTGGTCGTTGTATTCGGGTCCTGCACTGTGGGATGAAGACCCCCGGTGGTCCCGGATACACTCACTCCTCCGGCACCGCTCGCATCAGTCTGGTCGGCGATCAGGTTCCAATAGCAGGAGCCTGTGTCGTAGAATCTTTCCATATAGTCCTCCATCATGGTCACATTGTCCGCTGGCGCGTCCTCATAGTAATGTCGCACTGGCGTGTACTGGTTGGACATCCAATCCTCCGGCTGATGCACTGGCCACATGGTGTTCTTGTCATGTCGCACGCTCAGCCAATCTATATATATGGATTTTATAAGTCAGCACTCGTGTTTTCACCTAAACCTTACGCTAGTTTAGTACTTACTCAATTTAAAAAGAATATTGGCCCCTGCTTGGGTGCCGGCGATGAGTCCTAAGGCACTAAAACAGGTGGCTCTCACCGAGTATACTTCGCACTTGGTCACCAGTATAATTAACTTCTCGTAAAGTCTGGAAGTAATCAAGAATATATATTTATAATGCATACAGAAATTGAAAACTAGGAGAGATGTTAAATTAGCCCCTCACCTGGCATTCAGTTCCACAAAGTATTCAACTCCATTGGCATGGGTCGAGGCGTGGGCCAGTGCCCAAATGGCCGCCTTCAAATCCAGACACTCGGCATCGTCCGTGCATTTTGCGCGTGTGAGCAGCTCCAGCAGCTGCGGCAGATCGCCGTGCTTCCTCAGCGCCGTCATTCCCTGGCCAGTCTGCGCCATCTGCCCGTACAGATGGGGTGCAATGTTCGGGGGAACGGTCTGTGGGCGCTGGTTGCAGTTGCGCCGCGAGTAGTACCCGTCCTCGTTGCGGATGTGCAGGGTCAGGCTGGAGTGGGTATCAGCCTCGACCAGTAGCACGTACCGCTTGTTGTAACCACTCCGCCAGTAACGGATCTCCTCCTCTATCCTGGCCATCGTGCTGTTCAGTCCGCGGGGCAGGGAATAATAGCGGGCCATTAGCAGACGTCCTGCATCACCGCGCTGCGTAAGATTGGGCCAACGGCTGACAATCTCCTCCAGGTAGTACTTGTCATGGCAGGCCTCCTCCAGCACATCCATGGCGGCCAGCACCACGCTGCGGTCCGCGTCGCGCGTCTGGTTGATGATCAGCGGAATGCCCCAGACCTCAAAGTGGGGCAAACGGGCACGCAGCAGCACCGCCATGAACTGCGTGGCGTACAGGCGTCCGCTCCTCGTTTTTGCCAACGTGAGCGCCTTCTCCAGCACCTGAAGTGGTTTCTTCTCGTAGCTGTAGTTTAAGCCGGACACAATCAGCTTTACATAGCAGACGTGGTCCGTCACTCGCACCAAGTTGATCAAGCTGAAAGCAGGAATATCTGGATTAGCTGAGCTCTCACTGGGTTATATATATCCCTATATCTCTATACTTACTATTCAAATACGGTGGTGTTATTGAGCACCTCGATGCCCTTAACAGTTCGGCACATGCGTCCGATGTAGAGGAAATACTGCTGGCACATCGTGTTGTTCATGTGCTGCGGACTAAATAGACAGTCGTGCGCACGATTCGATGTGGTGACGGCCGCCAGTTGCTGGCTGATGTCCGAAAAGTAGTCGGTTATGTAGCGCATGCATTCCAGCTACGAAGCATTAAATAACTCATTAAATAATGCCTCTTACAAATTCTAAAGGTAAGCTCAACCCACCTCGCTGCTGCCCAGGAGAACATCGATCAAATCCAGTCCAGCACTGACATAGGTGGGCAGGCTTTGGCCGGGTACCAAATCCTGATGCGAGAAACGATTGTTTCGCGGCTTGTAAAAGTCCACGAGGCGCTTTAGGAACTTGCCCAGAGTGTAGTCCAGCTTGCGGATTAAATTCGACTGGGAAATAAGTCAATATTATAAATGTAGTTAAATTAGAGAGCTCAGAAGGATCACCTTAAGTATTGTGGTGATCACATCCCAGTCCCAGAGATGCGCATCCGCTTGGCTAAGCACCCGGGAGTCGGTAAGCAGCCGATTAAAGGCCCGGAAGTTGTCAAAGAAGGCTTGCGGGAGGAACTTTCGCTTCAGTCGAAAACTGGACCTCGACGAGGTCGGGGCCTGTGAGTTGGATTCGTCGCTGGACGAGACCGAGTCCAGCCGGTGGCGATCGAGGGTAGCCCGAAAGGGGCCGGCGGGCGGCACTGCCGAGGCAGCCGCTTCAGCCGTATCCTGCAGCTGGAGCACAGGACCACCCGCCTGCTCCTGGACGTTGAGGTGCCGGCGAAACAGTCGCGTCTGGATGAGGGCACCGCCCTGGATAATGCTGTCGAGGAAAAGGCTGCACGACGCCGGCCGCTGGCGTAGCATCTTTTGGTAGTTTTGTAGGGCGGCCACCGCCGCATTGGCCTGCTGGTTGCCAAGTGTAGCATGGCCCACCAGGGTAGGCAGCGCAGGACTTGTGCAACATATGTCCGGTGGCAGGTGTGTGTGCATCAGCTGCAAGATCTTGCCAATCAGCACCGTGGCCTGTACCGAGACAAACTGGTCGCTGCCCACCGCAACCTCGACGAGCGCATTGAGCAGTCCCGTCTCGAGGAAACAGTAGAGCATCAGCGACAGGTGCTGCTCCACCACGCTCGGAGCACGGGCCGCCAGCGTGGGCAGAATGGAGCGTCCCTCGGCGGACACGAAGCCATTGCTAAGCAGCCAGGAGGCCTGAAAGTCCGACGGATCCACAGCCTGCAGCGCCACCGCATAGTCGTCCGTCCAGGTGGGCTGCGGCAACGAGAGCAGCTCGTACAGCAAATCCAGTATTGCTTTCTGTTCGAATGGAGTTGTTGGTTTAGGATTGGTAATAAAAGTTAGTGAAGAGACAGTACTCACTCTAACTTCGATCTGGTTTAAATAAAGAGCGTCGACTATTGCTTTCAGGCCTGAAGGTTTACTAGGATCACAGAATTCGAGGGTGCCCGTCCAGCTGCGCAGCACGGACAAAAGTGCCAGACGACAACTCGTATAGCGAAGTTCACGTGCATCTCTGCAATTGTGAAGATGTGGTGAGTTCTTAATTATATTATAATTATGACACTTTTTATAACATCAAGCTTAGTCAAGTATTTACTTTTCTGTTAAATTAAAAAACTGTTTGGCAAATCAATCACTGAAATTGATCCGCATACGTCTGGCTTAAAAATTTGATTCAGCACTTGCGCAATTTCGACAAAAGTAAACTCTTTTTCAATGTTTGTTTAGCTGTCAGCAATTTCTGTCGCAAATCGCGGAAATTAGACATTTATTATTGTAGACTTTTCACCAGAATTTTAAAAGTATTGTATATAGTACTAGTGTCGAAATCATTTCTGAACAAAAACCCTTATTACAGTTTGCGTATTGGGATAGAATTTGGCCACATAGCTTCAGAAGTTACAACAGTAGTTGTATATATATATATATATATATATATAGATATATGTCTTATTCAGGGGCTTTCAACGTGCCACTCACTTGTTTTTATCCATGATGCCGAGCCTGTAGGTAAAGTCACAGTACGGAGCCGCCAGGCAATCCAGCCGCACCCCGCAGATGTTCCTCGTCTGCGGCCACTCGAGGAGGTACAGGAGGACGCCGCACAGGCTTTCGGCTATGCGGGGATTATGGCACTCCAGCACGTTGCGGGTGATGGAGGTGACGCCGCCGCAGACGATGAGCAGGGCCGGATTGAGGACGGCGAACTCAGCAAGGGTGGCCAGGCAGGCACGCAGCAGGTTGTCGTTCTCCTCGATCCCACTGTCGGCCAGCGAGACGAGGCAGCGCACCACCGCCGGACTGATGTCCTCCGGCGCGATGGCCAGCATCTTGCGCACCAGCTTGAGGGCCTGGACGCGCTCGTCGTCATTCTTTAGCATCAGGTCGATGGAGCGACACAGCAAGTGCTGCAGCTGCAGGGCATTGAACGCCTTGATGTCCTTGGGCGTGTTGATGGCATAGCGGATCGTCCTCAGCGCCGCCGCTCGCACCTGGGTGAAGGTGTGCACCAGTGAGGCACTCAGGCTGGACGGAAGCAATACGAAGAGCATTAGCCATGGAACAGTGGGGTCAGCCAGCATCCTTACCAGTAGAGCAGCTCCTCGGTGCTGAAGCGTATGTTGGTGTGGTGGGAGCCCTTGCGGGCCAGCAAGCAGAGCGAAGCCAGCGCATTGAGCAGGAACAGGCGCTTGGTGTCCCGCGTCTCCTCCAAGCACAGCATCGAGTATATTTCAAAGGCATTTTCGGCGGCCGATTGCTTGGGATCCAGGCGAAAAAAGTCCTCTGGGTCCTGCGAAACTGCAATGGAAATAAAAGATGGGGAATAATTAGTTATAATTAAATAAATTTTTTAAATAATTTTCCTTTTAAGTGTAAGATAGGTATTATATATTCTTCAAATAAGATTCTGTCGCTAGGGACAGGTTTATATTCCTAATATCTAGAAGGATGGTGTCTTGTGTCTTAAATGATAATGATAAATAAAAACAAGGAATTTTTAAACAGATCACGTCATACATTGACAAGATTACAGGTTATAGAATTTTACAGAGAACACGATTTGATATAAAGATCTAAAATCAAAAATCGAATTTCGGGGTTAATTTGTAGGTCTAAGTAAGACCAGTCCAATGGAAAAGATTGCATATTAACACTGAGTAGGATCGTTTCAAGAACATATGTATCTTGTATTCGTCGCGGGTTTCTTCGAACATGGAATGCATACATGCATAAAGATATGGACATTTTAGTTGCATTAGAAAGCGATCAAAGTGAAATTGATCAACGAGGAAAGCTAATCATCTCTGCCACTGCCGCTGCCTCAGCCGACGTCGCCGCAGGCTGTGCACGTGAAATGACAATGGCGTCATAACAGATTCACTGTTGTTGTTGTTGTTGTGGTTGTTGTTACAGCTAACTGTACTTGTATGATGGATTTGGTTGAAAAGAGAAAGGAGAGAAAGAGCAGAGAAGATAGGAACAAGAACGAAAGAGTGAAGGACATGAAGAATGGAAGAAACCGAGCATTCACTGTGTTATTGTTGTTTTTAATGTTTTTTTTTATGTTTATGTGTGTTGTTATTGTTATTCGTTGCTGCGTCATCGTTTTTTGGGGCCGCTGGCGACTAAAGTCTATAAATAGTCGGCCAACATGTAGCAGAAGAATTTGGTCAAATGACAACAACAACAACAGCAATAGCAACTACAAAGGAAACCAAAATAAAACTAAGAAATACATAAATAAATAAGACAAAAAAGAAAAACAAGTGATTCTATATATGTAAATAACGGGATCGGATCAGGATAATTGCTGATCAGAATGCCATGCTGTCGATACATCGGTACATCACTACCATGCATCGTTACCGCTATGTTATGCGCAGTGCTGCCAGCGTGTTTTCTTCTTCTTTTTCTTTTACTACTACCCGCCGTTGTTGTTGTGGTGGTTGCCATTGCATTTGACATCAATGTCAACAAATGCAATGCAACCAATTATTGAATAAGTGAAGAGGGGGAGGGGGAGGGGGTCAAGCGCTAACAATAACGGTTCAAGATCCACAACAGCAACAGCTGCTGCTGCTCAGGCGAAGTGCAAAATATTGAAAACTGCAGTCACTGGTTTCCAATAACGGTGACGATGATGATGCCATGTTGATGTCAATTAACACATTCGTTGCATTACCTTTAATGCGTAATTGTAATTTGCTCCGCTTGCCAAAACGCCAACTGGAATGTAGGGAGGCCATCGCGTTGCTTCGCCTCTTTTTCACGCGCGCGGATGGGGGCGTGGCGGCGTCGCCCGCTCGCCGATTTAGCTTTGATGTCCCCGATTGTCCGCACACACGGATCGTACTTAAATATATTGCTTTTCAATTTTCAATTTCACTTGCTGCACAATTTACATTTTTTTTTATTCGCTCGCCGCTGTGTTACCGTTCGCGGGGCCACGGAAAAATACCAACTTGTATATGGCTGGCGAATATTTGCCAGAAAAAGATACGCATTATGGGTATTGAACATTGAGCTTTTAAAAATATTTTTTTTTTACTTTGCTGTCTAAATTATCAAAACAAAAAACGCGACGGAAATTCTATGATAATTTTGCGATTTTATGAATGCATTTTTTATCAGCTATTTTGTAAAATCCTCAAAGTTTCGAATATTTTCGTTCTCCAAAATAATTACAAATTGAATATAAAAGGTGTTAAAACCTTAGTGACTATTAATTGGTAAGATTCATACGAATTCATTTTTATATATCGAAGTGCACACCCAAAAAAGAGCTAAATGTAACGGGAAATTTAAGATCTGTCAGCACTGATGATCAGTTCTGGTATTTTATTTCCACAGCCCTGTGGTATTTTTCAACCAACAGCGAACGGTCGAAGTCGAGTTCGCTCTTCCTCTTCGATAAACCAATATTTTGCAATAAAACAAATTAGTTTTTAAAACCAAAGTGAGCATTTTTCCAAGCCAACGGGTGCCACGGCTCTCGCGCAATTCGGTATATCTCGGTGCAAACGCAGCGGCGCATTCCGCGATTTCGGTCGACACCTATTTGTGTTGTTGTGTTGTGCTCTCCGCTTTCTGCTTTCTGTTTTCCGCTTTTCGTTCTGTGTATCTGTGTGTTTGCCATCCAGTGAGTTGAGTTCACCAATCCAATCGCAACAGCAAAAGCAACGGCCAACTGATGAGTCTCAATTGTTTTCATTAACGCAACGAGAGTCGCCCCACTGCGAACCCCTCCCCTCCCCCTGCCCCGCCACCCAGCGCCTGTCCAGTAACTACTACCCGCCCCCTTTGCCACACCCACCCCACCCACTGCCCCATAAAAACACAGCCCACCCATCAAATGGCCAGCAGCAACAGCAACAGTTTTGGGGGCGTGGCAGGTGTGAACGGGGATCTGTGGCGCGAATGCGTCGCCTGGCTAACCAGGTGCAAGGTCATCCCGCCCGACCACAAGGCCGCCCAGGCGGACGCCGAGATCCGCATCCTGGCGATGACGCTCCGCGACGGCGTGCTGCTCTGCAACCTGGTCATCCACCTGGACCCCAGCAGCATGGACCCGCGCGAGTTTAATCGCAAGCCACAAATGGCACAGGTAAGTCAATCAAGCGAAATATGTCAACCGTCATGTTGTGTTGTACGATTAATTTCCAAGATCTGTATAGAAGTAATTCAAAGTGTCCCCAGGGGAGACCAAGAATCCCCCAGTAAAGAAAAATATGCTTATACATAAATCTTGAAGTGTTTGAAAAAGTAAATTTGATTAACCCTATGGAGACTAGGAATTAGCCTTTTGAGGTCAATAAATATTTAAGCTCTATTTAGAACAAATCAATTGAAACTATATGATGTTGTATGTTAGAAAAATAAAATAATAATAATAAAATAAATAGTTATCCCCCTCGTAGACAGAAATTTGGAAGCCTGTAATGTAATAATAATATGTTATACAAATTAACTTCAAGACTTGTAATAAAAAAACTAAAATAATCCCCAGGGGAGACCAAATATTAATATTATTCAGATCGTGGAATGATTAAGCTGTTTTTAGACAAAAAAAAATGTATATATATAAGAACATGGGAGCTTAAGAATTCTCTTTTAAGATAATGCAATATAATAAATAAGACATATACATCTCAAGATCTATAAAGATATAATTAAATTTCCGTTCTAGGATCATGGAATCTTTAAGCTCCATTTACAAAAAACTGATGCCAAATGAAAAACTTTAATATTTAGAAAATTTAAAGATAGAATTAGTTAAGAAATTAAATACAAATACTTTAAAATACGTATGTCCTATGCTAATATTGAATTTTGAACTACCCTTTGTATAAGAACCCCTTGAATTAAATCGGAAACGTTGTTCCATCCATTGCAGTTCCTGTGCAGCAAGAACATCAAGCTCTTCCTGGACGTGTGCCACAACAACTTTGGGATCCGCGACGCCGATCTCTTCGAGCCGACGATGCTGTACGACCTGACCAACTTCCACCGCGTCCTCATCACGCTCTCCAAGCTGTCGCAGTGCCGCAAGGTGCAGCAAATGCACCCAGATCTTGTGTGAGTCTTTCAAACCCCAGTTCGCACATGGTTATCACCAGTTTGCGATATGTGGGCAAACAAGTGGGCCCTCTGTTCCCAGACCTTGAGATCTTCACTGTTTCATCAATCCATTGAGGTTCAGATAGTATTCATTTACAATGATAAAGAGAAACTGAAATAATAAGGGTTTCATCAATACTTAGCAATAGAAAACCGATTTATTAATTTTTTTTTTATATTATGATAGACATTAGAAGATAAACTGATTAAACTTCAACTATATAATATTGACTCAAGTGCATTCCTGAAATACCTACACGGAATGTTGGAATGTTTTTCAGCGCACAGCTAAATTGATTTTTCAGCAGTAGCCCATCAATTAATCATTTGCTGCAGTTCGCAATACATTTTTGATTTCAATAAGCTGAATTGGAATTTATACAATTGTTTCGACACGTACATATGTACTATACTTATTATTAATAGATTACATTTCTAGGAAATGAATTAGTCATCAGTAATTGCTTTTATTTTTCTTATATTTATATGAAACATGCTTTTGATTAATAAAGGAATATGATTTTCGTTGTGACTAATTTAATAATGATTAATTTTAACCCATTCCAGCGGCTTCAACCTACAGCTATCGCCCAGTGAGCGTTCCCATTCGGACGAGGCCATCTACAAGGACCTGCATTCCACGTGAGTAGCCAATTCCGGGCGGGATCTCTGTCTGCAGTCCCCTTGACCATGGTGCGTGCTCCCCGCTTTATTTGCGGCCTGCATTTCCTGCCCCAGCATTGTCAACCCCTGCCCCCGACTCCGCCCCTCAATCCAAGCCAATGCGACCCGAACCGATCTCATTATGCGCTCACATACTTCCCGGACCCCAGTCTATAAGCCTTTGTCTGGCTGCTTATCGAGCACATGGAAAAAATGTCTTCACTTCACTATCTGTAGAAAAAACGCGTTTCTGCTTAAAATCTTTCAAAATCGTGATATTATCTGAAAAAGTTTAAAAAATAATCATAATCAATATTCATAACTTCTTAAAAAGGTCTCTTATACAAGTTCGAAATATCAGAACTACTACTTTTAGACTCATTATAAAGTGTTTTTAAATACCGAAAATAATTTAAATTACAAGCGTTTTCTATATATAATCGTATCTAAAATCTGATAATCAATATTCTCTGTGCGAGATAGAGAAGTTGTGCATTACTAGGCTATAATAAAAGTATCACTACTTTAAGACATCTTATAAAGTGATTTTACTTGAGCCGGCAATAACAACTATAAATATTCCCTTGATATCGGAAAGTCAATATTTTCTGTACGAAATAAAGAAATAGTACCTATAAAGCTGGTACCCATACCAGGCTATGATAATGGTATCACTAATTTTAGACACCTTTTAAGTGACCAAAGAAATGATAACTTAAATGCTCCATTGAAAATGGATAATCATTGTTTTCCGTGCGAGATGAGATGGGAAGTAGTACCGCTAACCAAACCCAAGCGATATCTCAATGTCCTCGGCTTTATCTAACACACTCTCTCTCTTTCTCTCTGTCTCCTATCTCTGTCTAACACACTAACTACTCTGTGAATGAATCCGAATCCGAATGAATGTGTGTGTGAATGCGTGTGTTGCTTTATCGGTGGTATATACATATGTGGGGGATTCACCATCCCTTCATCGCCATTGCCACCAGGGATCTGAACATGCGGAAGACGGGCAGCATCGACGCCGCCTCCGCCTCCTCGTCGGCGGAATACTACGACCGAACCTCGCAGAGCGGATCGCTGGACGAGAACAGCGACATCACCATCGAGAACGGCACCGAGGACATTGATGACTACATCGAGGACTCGCTGTCCAACATGTGCGACTCGACCATCGAGAACGACCTGGAGGATGCGGGCGTGGAGACCCCCCTGCTGGCCGATTGCGAGGCAGGCAGCCCCATGCGGGAACTCTCCTTTGATCTTACCCTGGATGTGGTGGGCTCGACCACGGATCACTCCGCCTCCAATGCGGTCACACCCACTCCGGAATCCTATGCCGCCGCCCGGTGCAGTGCGGAAATGCCCTTGGCCGACGCTGCATCTGCGTCTATTGCGGCCACACCGGGGCCACCCATGGGACGACTGGTGTCCACCTCGTCCTCCTCGTCGTCGCTGTTGGTCAGCGAGAGCCAGCGGCTGCAGAGGGCGGCCGCCGCCGTCTACAATTACCGATCCTCGATGGCATGCACCGAGCACGAGTACGCCTACATCTACAGCGAGGATGACGAGAAGGTCTACGAGGACCTGTGCTACGTCACCTTCCAGGCGAAGGCCAAACCCGAGGTGTGCTGTCCAACATATTACTCTGTCTTTGTGTCCGGCGTGGGGTGGGATCTGGATCTGGGATCGAGCAGGAAAGCAGCGGAATTTCCATACAAAAATATCATAAATATCATATATCAGATAATGTAGATGGATAGGCTTCGGTAAAGTGCGAAACATTTAAAATCCTAATATTACAGTATATATAATATATACATAAGTTATGTTTCCGAAGCCTGTCAATATCTGTATGGGAATTCTAAAGTTTCTTGTCTAGTGGAGATGTAGTATAAATCATAGGAACACGGAATGTGATTTGTGAACTTAAATAATTAAATAGTCACATGGATATAAGATCATCTTCCGCTCCTACGATTTGCTGCGAGAAATCCACCCACCCCAGTGTATTGTCATGTGTAACAGCCCTTCCTCTTCTTCCCTCCTTCTGCCCCTGATCCCTGATCTTTCCCAGAATGCTTGATCCTCTAGTTTCCTCCTTGTAGGCTTTAGAAACGGCCCAGCACCGCCCACCAGAACCACTGCTTGTCTTGCTTGCGCTTGAGCTTCACCCACT